GGATGCTCCACAGCCATGTGAGCTTCTCCGGGCTCCCTCTGTTCCAGCCCATCCTCAAGACCTGCCTGGAGAACACTTACAAAATAGGGCCGGATGAAGGCTGCAAGTTCAATGCAGGGCGGGTGCAGAGGGCGCTGGAGGGAGCCCTGGCTGGGGGCCTGGGCACCCGGAGCCCCCAGGGCAGTGCACTGCTAGCCCAGAACCTGGTTGAGATGGTGCAGAGCAGAGCAAAGGAGGTGGTGCCACCCCGCTACAAGCTGGTATCCCACGTGTTGCTGGGGCAGCAAGGCCAGCAGAGCCTGCTGGTGGCCAGCCAGGCACTGTGGGACCCAGAGAGTGATAGCTTTGCCTCCGCCACCTTCTGCAATGCTTCTCTCTTTGCTGTGGCCACGGTGCACGGGGTCTACTTTGAGTAGGACCTGCCTCTCCCTTCATTCAGCATTGTAAAGCTGCAGAGGAAAGCAGATGAAATAAAGAGGTTGCACCAACTCTGGCTCATACCCAGACTCTTTCACCGTGGTGCATTCAAGGAGCAAGGTATGGAGGCACCTCAGTGCCCTCATGCTCACTACAGCCCCCCGCCTGGGCTCACACCCACTGTGTAGCTTCCACTACCACAGCTTACAAAAGAGACCCAAGCTGCAGCAAATACAACCCAAAAGGCTGCATTACCTAGGGATGGGCATCTGCCCAAGGCCATGCTACAGCTAGCAGCCCAGGTTGCTTCCCACATCACAAGCTGCTCCCAGGCAGATTGATTACACAGTGACAATTACCTTCAAAACAAGTTCATGGAGCAGATTAAGTACCTCCTCTTTCCTGGCTCCAGCCCCAGCTCATATCCCATCACATGAGTTGTCACAGCGCAAGGACACAGGCAACCAACCAACCCCTGAGCCCCAGCTCCTGCCTCTCAGCAATAGCATGAGAGCAGCTGGGTTTGGTCCAAGTGCAGTGACAGTTGGGAATGAGAGTTTGACAGCAGCAAGGAGACACTGAGGCAGCTACAGAGCTCCACAGGCATCAGTAACGGCTAATTCCTGCCAGCCACAGGAAGAAAAGTGGAGGTACCACACAAGCTCCTCACCCCCATCCTGTGTCCCAGACCTTGTACGCCAGTAGCAGCAAGAGGGATCTTGCCTGGCTGGCAGAAACAGTCCTAGAACAAGGATGAAGATTAAGCCCTTTTATGACCAAGCTCCAAGCAAGGCAAACAGAGTTTGCCCTTACACAAATAGATTTTTATTTAGGTGAGTCAAAGACAGGGGAGTTGCACATGGACAGTCCAACAGGGAAATAAATAATTCCATATAAATAAGATACATAAATAGTCCCATACAGCAGAAACTGCCTCAAAACAAGAAACTTCCCTGGGCCCCAGCGACATGAGGGCTCCTCCAGGCAAGCCCTTGGATTCCATCCCCCCCACCCTTTATCAAACCTCAGGTTGTACCAGACAATTCACAATTTGGGAGCAGACAGGGCACGTTCGGCCCAGCAGAGCCCTTTCCTTAGTGTAGCAGTTGTGGAGTGGCACACACCAGCCCACACAGCCCCTGGCAGGGCAGGCAGCAACCTTCACCCCTGTCCACCCCTGGGAAGGGTTTTTTCCTACCCCACAGCAGCCAAGCTTTAAGGCCAAGGCTGTGCCAGTCCTCTCCAAGCCATGCAGAGGGTCTGTAAACAGGTGCATCAAGCCAGGGCAGGTTGGAGCACCAGGGTACAGACAAGGCACAGCCAACCCCAAACCTGGCTGCAGGGCACTCACCCACCACCTCCCTCCCTGTGCCACCCCAGTCCACCCCACTGAGACCAGCACAAGAACAGGAGCTGCAGTGGGAATACAGCAATTGCCCAGAGCCAGGGAGCAGCAAGGATGTCCAGACCTGCTGCTGTAACCACATCCACATGTCTTTAGTCCAGAGACCAGCTGAGCACCGGGATACAGGGTGCCCAGGTAGGCAGCCAGCACCACAACATCCCTCCCATCCCATGAGAGGGCAGGGGGAGACCTCTACGTCCAGAGAGGGTTCCCCCATGGTCCCATGCTAAGCCTCAGCCCGTTCTTGGAGGAGCTTGAGGATGTATCTGAGGCGGTGGTGGAGCTCAGGAGAGCAGCCCAGCTCCTGGATGCTGCACAGCTTATAGGTGTAGGAGTTTCGCTCCCGGTTGATGTAGGTGACAAGGCAGGAGTGGTCAGGCTTGCTAATGATCACCTTGGTGTGGTCATTGTAGAAGTTCACCTAGGAGACAGGTTGGACTTGGTTTAACCCATGCTTCCCACGGCATGTCGGGAGCCAGGATGGAGCCATGCTTCCTGCCTCAACCCGTTTCTCCTCCCCAACCTGCCCAGGAGCATCCCTGCTCCATGCCCTATGGCAGAAATGCACCAGCCCCGACATCAGGGTAGACAAAAGTGGCCAATTAAAGCATCATGTCCCCCACAGGCTGGACAAGCTGTGATCAGCAGCTTTGGACACTGGAGCAGCACCCTGCACCACAGCTGGACTGTGCATGTGGGCTGTGGCAGACAAGATCTAACACATGCCACAAGTCCCCTCCTCCCCATGGGTGTCTGCGCATCTCCACTGTGTCACACACATACCTGGAGGGTGCCGTTGCTGAAGAGCATGAGCAAGGCTTGGTCAGTCTTCACCCACTGCAGGAGGAGCAGGGCTGGCTGCCCAAGGTCATCTATGCTGGGCAAGTCACCTCCCTTGGAGAGAAGGGTCTGAGTAACTCTCTGGTCCCATACATGGGAACAGTGTCACCAGCATACACACAGCCAAACCCAGGCACCCAGGACACAACTGTGTGTCCACCTGGCCACAGCTTGTGAGCAGGGAGTCCCACAAGCCCAAGCAGTGTGGTCAAGTCATGACCCATCACCCACCTTCATGAGATGCTGCTCCATGTAGGACGCAAAATAGCGCAGGACACTCATCTGTCCCTGCAGCTGCTCGGGGATGGCGGCCACAGAGAACACAAGGTGTTTGCTGTTGGTTGGGTTGTAATGCACAGTCCTGTGAAGGAGTAAACAATGAGTTTTGGGGCCACCCAGCACCAAACAACCCTGGCACTGCCTCCCCTTGCCCCTTCCCACATCAGGGGCTTCCCCAGAGACACCATCCCCTTCCCCACCACTTACCTGTGGTTGG